TGAGGCAGAAGCAAGGAGCTCGCTCCTTCTTCCTTCGACGAGAACGTGTTAACAGTTGCCTGTTTATGTGACAGGACAAGAAACTCATAACTCAGGCAAACTGCTCTTTGAGAGCGTCCACGACCGGGCATAAACATAAAGGAATAATGCTGAATCGTAACTTTTTCTGATAACTGATTCTGTTTCTGATTTTGACCGAGAGTCGAAGCAATAGTGATGCGAATGCAATAAATTATTTGGAAAAATAACAAGACTTACACAAGAAACCGAACCTTAAATAGTAAACTTGCCAGTTCATTTTAATTTTTAAAATATAAATGCACTAAAAAATATGTAATAAATAATATTTTTTACATAAAACGTAAATAGATTTCTCCGCAAATACCCCTAAAGTGACAGCACTGCATCCCCATATTGACAGAAAAAAAGACAAGAAACAAGACAAGTAGCAAACTAGAAAAAGAGAAATAATGAGAGCCATCTCCGATACGAGTTCCACTTTTGCTATGGCTATATGCCATGTTTCATGGAGCATGAGCAACAGTTTGCTTGGCTATCAGACATCCATCCTCCCACGCATCCATTTCCCATTTCCCAGCTCTCATGATCAACGCTCAACGTTCCACGCTCCTTTTATAATCTTTTAAGGGCCGCTGTCTGTCGCGTCTTTTGTCTATTTGCCGCCTGCCCTTGGCTTTGTTTATTTTCACAAGCGTGTCGGTCCAAGTACTAGTCCAAGTCGAAGACCAAGTCCAAGTCCAAGAGCAAGTCCCTTGCCCCCAAACAAAGCATTTGGCTTTAAGACCCCAGCTGAGTCGCTTAAGTTTCGATTTTGGTTTCGGTTTGGCAATAGTAGCTTTTTCTGTGTGAGCAGAGCCATCAGAATAATTGCATTCGATTTATCTTGACGGGGATACTCGCCAATATTCCTTCACAAAATTGTCAACGAGATACAGAAAAATAAAACAAGGAGGATGCCGTAGAAATGAGTTCCCCTGTCTTGATATTTAATTCTATTAAATAATTAAACAAGACTTGATATAAGACTTGTTTCACTAACGATTACTGCAGCTCTCAAGTCCTCTCCTGCAACGGAAGCTACGATGCTGCGATGCATTTAATTTAATTAAACAAGCTCCCCTCAAGGGCTGCATAATTCACACTGACTTTTTGGTAGAATGCATCAGCATAAATAACATTTAAATGCAATCATCATTTATGGCCGAGATTCTGGCATACAGATTGCAATATAGCTCTTTCCGTAGCGTCGTCAGCCACCACCACTGCGTATGCGTAATATTTGCCCAGATTTATGCAATGCTATTTTCCGACTGAGCAAAAGATGCTGCAAAAGAGAAGGAAGGAAGGAAGCGATATAAATACGAGATATGGTTATGGCCCGCTCATGCATGGCATGTGTGTGTGGAAACTTTTTGCGATTATGATGGGGCCTCTGGTTTTGACCTTGCATTTAGCGTTGCATGAAAATATTACGCATCACCCCTCGACATCGCCGCAAAAGTACTTATGCCATGTGCCACCCGCCACCCCCGCGATTCGTTTCAACAACTCGAGGCGGCTCTCTGTACTCTCTGCACTGGCGAAATGAATTATTGATCCATTTAAGGGGCTTGGCCCATTTCGCCTCTTAGTACGCCATCACGTGCCTAGCAAGCTGGGTTGATGAATGGTGCGGCGTATGCCTAGAGATGCTGTGGGTCTGGGCCCTTATTTTTATCGGACCTTCGTCAGACACAGACTCCCAGGACTCCCCAAATGAAACGAGCATATAAATCTTTGACCAGTGCTCATTTGAATTCGTATTTTCAACCTCCATTCAATGTTTCTACAAATGAACAGAGTGTGGAAAGAGTTCGCTTGTCCCTGCCACCCTGTGAACTGAAAACTTTTCACACAGGCTCAAAAAGTTTCCAAACAGGCTGTAAAATGTCTCCACTTCCTTTATCAACCAAAAAAAAGTTGACAATTTGTGCCACACAGCGTCGGCACATGTGGCTCAAAACGTTCAACTTTGGGGCACACATTTTGGGTTAAACAAAAGGAACTTATTATTACAAGGAATTATGATTTTACGCTCCGACGCTCGGGGATTTTGGGAAGCCCACGGTGGTGGCCCATGTGGCGTATGCGTAATGCATTAAAGTTAAATGCCACACTTACGAAACGAAGTAAAATAAATAACAAGGCACGAGAGAAAGTTTTGCGGATCAAGGGATTTGCAAACTAATTAATTGAATGCTCAACAAATTACAAGGATATTCCGGAGGCAAAACTCCTTAGTCAATTAAATTAATTCAGTGAAATAAGAACTTCATAATTGTAGGCCTCAGCTGCTTGTTAAACAATGTTAAAGTTGAGAAAAGAAAGGAGAAAATTAAAGTTGAGAAAATAAATAACAAGTTTCAAGTTTTAGGAACAAGGTTATTCATTATTTCTTAAAGTTCTTGGGTGAAAACATTTACCCATTAGGTAGAATGTCTTGTAATCTTTGAAATAAATTCAGATTTTCCCTTTCTTAGCCATATGTGTACAGAATATAGCCTAAAGTCAAGTGAAATGACACGTAAAAGGTGAAGAATCAAGGGAATTCCAAACTAATTAATGAAATGCCCGACGTATTAAATGTTTCTGCATTCTTGGCCGAGCTCAACTCCCGGCAATTAATTTAAATGATACTCAAAACCAAGGAGACGAGCCCCCTTGCACTCACCAATAAGTATGTGTAACCAAAGTTTGTCTTGGCCGAAAAAGCCGCCGTCGCCGCTTGAGCCAATGGCACGTGGCCTGGCTTTTGGGGCTAAGACCGAGACCAACACCACAATGGACAATTACTGTCTCATCTGGGGCGGATCTGGCGATGGCAGCTGGCACAGAAATTAATTAGCTGCCCGAACTTAAGCGAAACCGAAAAGTTCAGACACTGCACAATGGACTTGAACACAGGAATCGGCGAGGGGGAAATATGGATTTGGGGTTAGGCATTGGCATTTGGCATTAGGGAGTCTCGCTTTGAGATTGAAGTGCAGGCAAGAGTCTTGACAGCGAATAAGCAACTATTAGAGTCAAAATTTATGGCATTCTTTGGTTCTGGTTTGGCTAAATGTGTCAACAATTCGACTGGCAATTAAAGCCAGCGGGCAAGTCAATAAATTGAGCGAATTATGACCTCGGCAGCTGCGAGAAATTCGCACATGCTGCTAATTGCTGCGAGATGTTAACCCTCTAGTGCCGTCCATAAATCGAAAGTTTCATGCCACATTGTGTCTTTCTTCTCCGTCTGACTTTTGTGCATTTTCCTTCAGGGAAATTAGAAAACTTTTGCGCTATCTGTACGCTTTCTTTCATTCTGTTTGATATTTTCTATTTATTTTTTTTTTCGGGCATGTGCAAATATTTTCGCTGGCCAACCTTTTGTCCTGGACGCGGCCTTTGTGGACGCCGCCTCTATAGTTGACTTTTATTTATTGTGGGCCATAAAAAAAACAGCAGGCAGGCGGCGGCAGCAGCTAGCTCTGAAAGCGAAAAGTTGAAAGAATGAAAACCAAAAAGGAATCTAGCACAGAATGCAAAAATTGTATACATTTGTTTGAGGTTTCGGTGGAATCTACTTTATGTTTGTCTCCCTCTGGCTCTCCCTCCACCATCATGGTTAGCTTGTTTTTCTCGCATTTTCAGTGTAAATTCGAAATTTCACTTTGGAAAGTCGTCCGCGTGTGTGTAACACTTTTTACGACTTTGCCGCATTTGTACAAATAATGTTCGCCATTCCCATTCCCTTTTATTGTTTATTTGTGTTCATTGACAGCACACACATGCACATTTCTTTTATGGGGAAGTTCCTTGACTCATGTCCTTCTCGGTGAAAGTGCTCCCCAGTCGCCAGTTGAGTGTGGTCCTTGGATTGCACTTTTGTGGCCAGCATTGATCATAAAAAGTGTTTGATAAATTTACGGCCAACTCGGCGAAGAAGCCTAGCTAAAGTTTCAGGCTCAAAATGCAGATGAGAGGCAAAAGTCTGGCCAAAGTTTTAAGACACTTTTAGTGCGTATTACAGGGCCTGGCATAACTTCATTTAATTGCAAAAGTTTGTCCATGTCTAGGAAGAAAGGATACCTTTTACTCTCTTTGGGAATAGTTTTAAATATTTACACAGAGCACCAACAATAGATATTTAACTCTAAATCTGCTTAGCATATTTTCACTTTTCTACTTTTAACAATATTATATTTTTCCCAGTGTTTGCTTATTTAATTACAGCCTCGTGCCAAACTTTTATTCAAATACTCATCTTTCATTTAGCTGGTAAGTCCACTCAACTCATTTCAAAACGAATTTAAATTCGCAGCGAGGCGACCTTTCTTAATCTTGGCCTGGAATTTTGCGTTTGTTCCCTTTTTACACTTATTACCGGAGGGCTACCTACATCAATCAAATGGTACACAGCCAGAAGATTACACTAAATACAATTTGCAGGACATTAAGCACAATGTCCCCAAGGATGTGCATGTGGATGTGGCTGTAGCGGCCATTATGCTAATCAGATAAACCTTTTTCCTTTTGGTCCTTAACCATAAATGAAATATAACTGCGGCCCGAAAACCAGATGCTGCTGCACAGATACCAAATGGGAATAAAGTGCCAAACGAAGTTCACTGCCCAGCAGATATATATTTTGGCAATCAAAGAAGGTTAAGGAATCGTTAAAATATGATAATATTGATGCTGAGCACACTAAGCTAAAAGTAGAAGTAACAAGGACAACACAACAAATTTTAGGAACAATAGGGAAAGTATAAAAACGGTCCTTTTTTCTTATATTTTAATTGTTTTTCGGATACAAGATTTGTTTAAATATCCCACTAAGACACAAATCACAAAACTTTTAAAACACCGCATTTAAAACCGTATTACAATTTTTTCTTATATTTTAATTGTTTTTCAAGATCAAATTTGTATTTAAAAATCCCACTAAAACTTACACAAATCAGAAAACGTTTGAAACAATATTTTTTAGGCCGAAACTATATCGCATTTAAAAGCAAAAGTTAGAATTGCTCTTTTCATATTTTTATAGCGCAGTGCACAATATCCAAGTGGCACATTTTCCGACTTTTTCCCAAAAAACCGAGATCGAACGAAGAGAAAATTCCGAGACACGTGCGTGCGGCGCCGCTATGGAAAACCAACTGAAAAACCGTGAAAAATTTTGTGCGCCAGCTGCTCGCCAACGTTCGCTTGTCCGCTATTCGCTTTTTTTTTTTTGTTTTTCGCTCGGGAAATCGTCGCTCGGCTTTTCCTGGGCGCCTGTCGAAAGTGTTGCCAGCTTTCTGGCGTCGACGCCGGCAGCGGCAGCGGGTTCGGCCAGCTGATCCGGGAAAAGTGGGGGAAAAACCGGATCCACCAGAAGCAACTAGTGCAGCTGGGCGAGGAACAGCTTCCACTTGGCATCCACAGGCGGCAACAGCTGGGCGACTTGTTGAAGTTGCAGACTCTGTTTGAAAACAGAGAGAGGAAAACTCAACTTGTGGTTTTCCAGAGAGCGGGAAAAACAACTAACCGCTCTCCTTTGCAGAGACCTCTTGCTTTTGCCTGACTTTATTTGGGTTTTTCCTTGCCTTTGCAGTGGACTCCATTCAATTTTCGTTTATGAATGAAACCATATTATTTGACTTTCCCAGCGCGCCAAAAAATGTGTAGAACTTTATTTATGCCGAAACTTTTCTCTTTTCTTTTTTTCTTTTTTGCTGGTCAAATTTATGGAACATCAGCCCGTCCATATGGCAGTTAACCCTTTTTTTCGGCTGGTACCACTTGGCGTATGGGTAATAAATCATCGAATGAAATGATAAACTGCGCCGCCTTTCCACTTTTCCCTTGGCCGCCCGGGATTTTTCTCACTTGCAATTTTTGTTTGTTATTCGGGGAAGCAACTAACAGAATTTATACAACAACAATGGCATTTTAATAGACGACGAATGTTTAAAATCCTCTTCGAGTGCTCGTAAAACGTTCAGTTTATCTTATTTTCGGAGAGCTCGTATTTATTTATTTGCATTTCATTCCGTGGCGCCTCATGTTAGATTTATGTGCTCGCAGGCTCATTGGTTGTGTGGATCTATATGCTGAAAATTTATGTTTGCATTTCAATTTACTTCCTCCTGTCACACTCATACTGTTCTCTATTTTTTGCCAGCATATGTTGATTAACTTGAGATATTTATGGCAGCGGCTTTATCGCGAGATTTTTGGTTGTAAAATAGGAAATAACGTTAAGTAAAGTTAATAAAAAGGAGACTTTAAAGAGGAGAGAATGTATATATATTCACGATTTTAAATTCGTTTCACTAAGTACATTCTCTTCCTACTAATTCTAGGTTTAATTTCAAAACACACATTTATTTTATCACTCATTTTAGGTATAAAGTTAAGTACACTAACCACATTCTCTCAACCTTATTTATAATTCCCAAAGAAAATCCCCCATTGAAACCAGTTTAAATTCTCGCTTAAAATATTCCAAGCATGCTTTAATATTTGCCTGTCATGTTTGGCTTCGTTTTTATAAGAGATTTGCTCATTGACAAACCCCCAAAGGGCGGCATTAATTTCCCCCGCTCCATTGGCGGCAAAAAGAAAACACAGCTTTTCCCTTGGCCAAATCATCCTTCAATTTATGTCACATTTCAAACAGGATTCTGACACCTCCAACCCATACCCCTCCTAAACATTTGTGAATAAAAAAGAAGGCAAAAGAGGGGGCCAAAGGCTATGGGGATCTCAATTATGATGGCCTAAGTGCCGTTAAAACCAAATCAATAATTTCCCAGGCGCAACGTGCATGGCATGAGGAATGCGGAATACGTTGACAATGTCGAATGCCATCGAAAGGCGGAGGAGATCCATTAGATATGCGACGAGCTCTGCCTCGGGAACAGCACCTCAGAGCCCACTGAGTCCTCACACACATATATCCTTCTACATAGCCATGAATTTCCAAATGACATTCAATAAGCATTCGACGAGATGTTCAATTATTTTTCAATTGCATCGATTTGCGGGCAGGCCACAAAAGAAATTTGATTATACTTGAGGCCAACGCCTCCGAAGAACAGGAAGACACATACGGAAAACAATTTATATAATTGTTTAAACAGGATAAACAGATTTAAGTCACGTTTCTTTGGGTTGATTTTATAGAAATCACATCAAGAATTCAGATAACCAAATGAAATTCAACATTTTCACATTTTAAAACACTTTAAAGTAATCCGAAATCTCTTATTTTCCCGCTGTGCACAATTTCGCTTTTCTTTCTGTTGATTTTCCCGCCAGCACGTGACTCATTTTGAGGCCTCATTTCGGAAGTCGTTTGGCACCCATTTTGGCCTCTGTTTCGGCCACTTTCCCGTGTCCTTCTAAACCAGTTAGCTACTTTGCATTAAAGCTCCCCCCTAGTGGCCCAACTACTTCCACTATGTATGTATATGTGATAGCACTCAGATACCGCCTGTCCGTCCAGTCCACTGTCGCTCAATGGAGACAGAGATGCGTGTTAGCGGCAAATGGATGGTCGGAGAAATCCAGGGGAATCCAAGGGATATTCCGGGCAAAGGCGGCAAACTGGCGGGGACAGGAAATGCTGACTTGACAGGGACGGAACCCGAAAAGCTTCCGCCGCTGCCATGGCAGCCCAAGGGGAGCCCCAACCACAGACAGGGATTCGGTTGCGGGCAGCATTTCGGGCGGCATTTGGGGTTGGGGTTTATAGGAGAGAGACCCCGTAGCGATAATCCCCTCAATCCACATGGAAATGCGAACACGATGTAAGGCATATATATAGGCACTGAAAGAAAATTAGTTCAAGAAGCTGATAGTCATTCTATTATAGATATTTTCAGTTGATGTGACCTACAAAATTAAAAATAAAAAAATCTTTAAGCTTTCCTATAGAAAAGCAAAGCCTGCAATCTTCACTTTACTTTCCCTTATACAAATTATATCTCAAAATTTCCTATTTCTTTCAGTGCATGCCATACAAAAGACTGGATACAACATCACCTAGGGCAAATCCAAACTATCTGCCGTAGCGACTTTAAAGGCTCTTTCCATTGGCAACACAGCTGCTGCTGGCGGAAGTTGTTGATATTTTGTTAACAGATTTATTTGCGCAACGTGTTCACGCTTTCATTTGCAATTTTCCACTAGACCTCGACGAGGTCTCCCTGTCGATTTGCTCGATATTTCTCGCTTTGCTCGCTTTTCGATTAACCAGAAGCGAAGTGCCGTGGTGGCAGCGATGTTTTGTCCAATTCCGACACTGGAGCACAAAAGAAATCAAGGCATTCGAGGGAGGATGAGGGCTTGAAGCTGCCACTCTCTCCCTGTCAAACCCATTTCAAGTGGGCGTCAAACTGCAGAGGACACCCCCATTGTGGGCCTCCGAATTTCCGCACACCCTTGGGTCCTCGTTCCTGGCTCCTCGCTCCTTGCTTCCTGGATCTTTTGTGCGTTCTTGGGCTGGGCGGGTGTCTGCCACTTTGACAGTCCCTAGTCACTCAGTTAGTTTTGGTGGCCAAAAGGAACTCGGCTCTGTCAATCTCGTGTGGATTGAAGTTGATTTATCCAAGGACGGGGCTTTAAAAGTATACACCCACTGTCGGCTCAAGTGGCTTTAGACATCACAGAAATGTCCGCCAAAAAACCTAATGAAAATTTTATTTGCCGGGCTTAACTTGTGATTTTCAATGAGCGCAAACTTTTGTGTCGTAGATAATTGCTGTGCAAGAATTTAAGAGGTCTTTGGGCTTCCACACGACTGCCCAAAAGTACTGGCAAAATTTATTGTAATTTTCATATGGTATGCCAAGGACTGATTTAATTATGCCCCTCGGGCTTTTCCGCGGAGGAGACAGTATAAACCTGTGCAGTGGAAAATCGTTTGTCACTACCCCCACGGTCTGGTTATGTTCCTGACGCTGTCAGTTGGAGTCGGAGGATCCTTTGACGGCCTTGATGCCGCTGCCTCTTTCTGCAACATTCGGTTTTTGTTTTTGACAGAGTCTGTCTGCGGGTTTTCCCTCTCCTTTGCTCTGTAAGAAGAAATTATATATATATATGTATATATATGATTTTTTTTTGTCACATCAAAGAGCATATAATTTTTACTGCCTGCCTGACTTGGGGGAAATCTTTTCATTTATTCGCTTGGGCTTAACCCTGAAACTGAATATGTATTCATTGAACTTGGCCAAATGAATGAGTTTTCAGTTGTTGAGAGCTTCAGAGATTTTTCTGTCATTGCCACCGCAATTATTTCTCCCTTTTTTTTGTGAGGATTTTAATTCCAATGCTCAGTGCTTGGGGAGTTTAAACTCAGAAATAAGCTGTCCTTCCACTTCAGACCCAATTAGGCATATCACAATTTTACTATCAAGACCCAAGCGTTTTTCTTGTTGTTTCCCATCTTTTTTTCTTATTTCTTATTCACTGGCCCTTTTCTTTGCTTCTGATTTAACTTTTCAGTTGTTGAAGTTGAAGATGTTTGCGCATTATTATTTTGGGCATTTAGTATTCCATTTGTGTTTTGTGATTTTATTTTAAGCTTTTGGGGGACCGTACATAATTTTTGTTAAAGTATTTCTTTAACAGAAATAGATAAATTATTATTATCTATTTACAAAATAAATCATATTAAGCATTTTTTCAACCCCCAATTAATCATAGATATATGCAAATTTCTCTTTATTTTTTCCTGTTTTCCTGCTTTTTTTTTTGCCTTTTTTTCTGATAGTGGCATGTTTATTTTAAGGTTCTGGCTGGTTGACCGATTTTTGTTTTGGCCATGATAACGCCCACGCATTTCGATTTGTAAATCAAGCCAAGGGGAGAGACAACTTTATCATGGCCCCTCGGTGGCAGCTGCACCCACTCCCAGGATGGAATCCACCAGGGATCCCTAGTTGGTGGATGCTCTCATTCGGTTTTATTGAGAGAGGGGTTCATGTGGGTGAAATTACCAAAAAAAAAATAAAAATGAAGACAAATAAATGCGTTGCAGCGTGATCCACTTCAGACTGTGCGAGTGGGCGTAATTAACACGCCACGAAGCCATAACGCCGCCCAAGGGGCCAAAGGTCACAGTCGAAGCCCAGAGACAAGAGCTGCTGATTAATTGATTTTTTATCGACGCCTCTCCTTGCCTGCCTTTCGCAGCTCAACTCGAATTGGAAATCGGAATCGGAAGCCACTGCCAAGGCTGTCGGGGTAATTTATCAGCCAACTTCCAATTAACACGCGTTAAAGTCGCGCCTTTTCCTGGGCAATTAACAGCCCAGAGATCCCAGTTTCCACATCCTCCTCCACCATATCCAGATGAATGGCGGTGTCCGGAGTAAGTTTCCCGCCCTGCAAAAAAAGACATGCTAATGGAAATGGCAATGCAATCACGGCAAGTAAGTGTACTCGCAATTTTCCCGGCCATTGTGCCTCTGTGTCAGCATTAAATCCAACGACTCCCAATTAGCTTAATTAATTTCGCTGTTTTTCTGTACGTAAGTACGGCGTCGGACAAAAATAAAACCTCTCAGCTTAAGAGAAAAGTAAAAATTATAAAAAGAAACTTTGAATTTCCATGAATTCTGCTGACCTTTAATACTATCGAAATAACTAATTAGCAAGAGCGTTCAGGCATTCATATTTAATTAATCATCAAGTTAATAGTTATTTCTTCAGATCAGTTCTGAGAGTTAACAAGCAATATAAATAAATTTGTATATTTTTTAAGGGAAATTCCAAACAAAGCCCAACAAACACTTTTCGAGTCAATTCTAACCCATTCTGCTCAATTTAGGGACTTGCCTGGGGAAATACCACGTGGATCTCCCCGACCAAGTCAAAGTCTACTGAACTCTCCCGAAAAGAACTCATTGACTGTCACTTAATCCGCAGGCAGGCCTTGGTGGAAAACCAGTTAATGGATAGCCAAAGTTGAACGAACCAAAGGCAAAGCCCGCAGATACCATCGATAGTAGCCGCCAAATATTTACTCCTCTCGAACTGTTCGGCAATGAAACTTTTATTTGCTTAGCTTAGATAACAACAAGAGCGACCAGAGTCGTTAGTTTATGTACAAAATACCAATACCAAACACAAACTGCACTCGGGGGCCCTCCCAAAAAAATAGAAAAAAAAACCTAGTTGTACCCATTCCCATTCTCGGTTATTGCCAATTTAGATGCAGTGGCACTTTCAGTTTTTTTCTCCCTATTCGATTTCCCTGTGAAATATGTGCGTGTGTAGAGTGTGTGTGGTGTAGAGTGTGTTTGGTGTAGAGTGTGTTTGAAGTAACCCTGTTACCAGCAGCCCTGCATCAGGCCCAATTGCTGGATGGCCCCGCAGCCCACTCGGTTCTGCATGTAATCCGGAAAATTGCTCTGCAGTACCCGCATGGTATTCCGTTTGTAATCCGGAACCGCATGGGTCACCAGCTGGCAAGTCTGACTGCGGTACACAGGCTTGAAGTTAGCCTCCGCGAACGTGGAGTTTGTGTCCCATCTGTAAACCTCCGCGTCGCCTTCGTTACGGAAGAATATAGCCGAACCGTTGTCCGTGCCAATGATAACCATGCGGGTGGGCTTCTTGCCAAGGTCTGAGAAATTTTAATTGAAAACCCAGTTAATTATTTATAATTTCAAGCTAAAAATCCTTTTACAACTCACCCAGTATCCTTCCATCTGCCACTCCGCTGCGCAGATACTCAGATTTTAAAGAAAACAGCTTGTTGGTGCTCAGGTACGTGAAATACAGCTCTGTGGAGCCACAATCGCGGCGGATGAGAGCAATGTAAAGGACATCCCTTGAACGGCAGCCCGCTGTGACAGCCTTGGGCAGCACCACACGGAATCCCCGATCCGCCTGGAGATTGTACACGATGATGGCCCTGTTGGCGGCATCGCTGACATAGACAAAGCATCCGCCATCCGGAGCATAGTCCACCACCAGATACTGCAGGCGAGAGCTGCTGGAGGTCAGACCCTCCAGGGAAACTGTCTTTAAAACCTTGCCCGTCTTCACCGACATGGCCACCACTTTCGGGGGACACTTCCGAACGGGAGTCTCCAACGTATTGACAATGCCGGTGTCCAGAACCCAGAGCACTTCGTTCTGGTCCACCACTAGGTCCACCACCGACTGCAGGGCCTTGCAGTTGCCCTCCTCTTGCAGATCCCAGCAGGGATATGGCTTGAAGGTAGTGGAGCAGGTGCCCGGCTTTATACTGGTCTTCACCAGAGTGGCTGGAACACCCTTCCGGTAGCGTGGTAGGGCCAGGTAAATGGTGTCTCCGATCAGCTGGGCTCGCGTGGCAATCACATTCTTGGGTATGAACTTGCCGGAGCTCTTGAAGAGCGACTTGGTGCTAGCACAGGGGAACTCGAACTGTCCCCCGGTCCACTGGACGGGCTGGGTATCGGAGTGGGCGCGATCCGGTGTCCACAATCCGTACTTGGTGCCCTGCGAGTGGGCCAACCCGAGGATGGCGGCCAGGATTAGCGCCAGTTGCATTCCCATCTTGGCAGCGTTAATCGTTTAATTATCTGGCGGCAGCGATGACGAAGACGTGCGCGTTACTCTGCTTCCCAACTTGACCAAGTGGCGTGCTTATATAACCCGCGAATCTTACCTAAAGCCAGAGGCAACGTGCCTCCCCACCGATTCTCAATTTCCAAACTCAAAAAACGAAAAACCTTGACCAGAGTTGGACCAACAAAAAAAGTCTTTCTATAAATAATTAAAAAACAGTTAAACTTTTGTAAGCTAAACATTTGAAATTGCTACGATTAAGAGAGTATTGTATACATTTAGCATTAGTATCCTTTGATAAACCTTAAAATTGCCTGAATTTTTCAATAGTAAAAGGCCATTCAGGGGCTAATATTTATATTTAAATAATAAAACCACATTTTCTGTCACCCTTAAAGGTTCAATTTACTCATGTTCCACTGTGTTTTGCCAGCAGAAACCACTGAAGTTTCTCAATAAAAACCAATACAAGGACTAACAGGGCCAAGGAGGGTGAAGGGACAGCCCTTGTGGCCTTCGTCTCCCTTCGTCCTTTCCATTAACTATTGAAATGGCAAACGATACTGCAATTACTGCAATCAATTTGGGGAACAGAGGAGGACCCACAAGTGTCGCCTGATTGCCTGATGATATTTTTAGCTAATTAATTGCTAGTGCAATCTCTGCCAAGATGACCTCAGCAGACTCTGTGATTTAACAAGCTCGTCGAAATGAATGAATGATGGAAAATCACTACAATTTTGGGATTTCCCTGCAGAATTCTGTCATTGCCATCACCGTAATTGCCCCATAAAAAGGTTAAAACCCTCGGATTCTGGCAGACAACCCGGTATCGCCCCTCAAACCCGAATCCAACGTGTTTGGCATGTTCAATTGTCAGCCGAAAAGCCCGGCAGCACCCGCATTCCGGGTGGCTTTTTCCCCTGCTGAATGATTTATACACGTTCCTCCACCCACCCAAACCCACTACCACCATACCACACACACATAGAGCACAAAAAATTGATGACAAGCATTTCCGGGCTACTCATCTGACATAATTTATGTAAACACTTACCTCCCTCCGAGCTTGTGGTTGTGGCTTCCAGATAAGAGACAGCTAGGGCGACTGCCGACTGACCCCCATTAGGCGCCTAACCTCCAACCAGGATTTCCCATTTTTCCTCCGCAGGCCATTTTCCACACATTACATTGACAGTTTTTTTCTTTTTATTGCCTCCCGTCCAACAGGGCGTATGCGTGATCAGAGGCGCACTTCTTTAAAACTCTCTCAATCTCCAAGTTTACGTTTATATATGCGTATATATATGTGCCAATAAAATCGCAATTGAAAACGCAAATAAGCCAATAATTTGTCAGTTCTTTGTTTTTTGTACCCCGGAGGGTGGCAGAGGAACAAAAGTAATGTAAAAAACAAAGAATTGTCTGTGGTCACGTTTGATTCGCTTTGGTAAATGGGCCGACTTGGGCTTTGTGCTGTTTATTTGTTGCTGAGAAAAGCGATTTTCATTTTTAACGGGAATTTTACATAAATTAAAATTAAGTACCAGAAGTTACAAAGGGTATGATAGAGTTTAATGGTAAGTACTAACGGAACTTTCTAGAGGGATCCGTGAAGTTTTTTATAACAAAAATTATAGAGAAAATACCTTACTAGTTTTTGTTTAACATTTTCTAAAAATATACTTTTAGATATATTAAAAACCAATCTAGCACCCAAAAAAGCTTAATAGTTTTACTTAAAGTTTATAACTTCTCCAAAACCTTAAATCACTTTTGGCCAAAGTTTTGGGATCCATTAATCAAATAGTTTCTGAAACGAGGGTCTTATAAATTCCACTACAGGGTATTAAAAAGTTATCAGCTAAGCAGAGCTTCCATATTAATCTTCCTATACATTTCGCTGCTTCCATAATTTATGTGCTTTGCTTTCACTTTGTTGGCTTTCTTTCGGCGGCCAAGTTTTTGCCTTTTTTGTTTACGTCTGCTCGAAGTTGTCCACTGTGTGTGTGTGTTTGGTTCTTAACCTTTTATGCTTTGGCTTTGCTTTTGCCCAGCTCAAATGGTTTGATGAATTGCCATAAATTAATACCTCAATCCAGTGGCTCATCTTTGTTTAATTGTTTTGCTGCCAGCCATATGCTGGTTGTTTTTGTTTTGGACTTTTGCTGGCAAATTGCATATTGAATATGCATTTATTTTTTCCCTCTGAAAAATGCTATCAATGCCAAATTGTTAAATTTTCCATTTAAACACATCTGTCAAAATTCGAAAAAAAAAATAATAAAATAGACTCAAGCATGAGAGGGAATGCGGGGTATAAGGAATGCACTTCCTGGATTAACCTTTTTTCATTAGATTTATTTTAGCATGAAGCTTTAAGTATATATTTTTATTCCCATTTTTTCATATTCTAACGATTTCTAATACTTTAATTATTAAATAAATTATTTATCCCAAAATATTTTAGGTTTAAAATTCGTTTTCCAAAGAAAATACTTCCTATTTCAGATTTAAACCACCAAACAAACAGCATTTATTGTAATTACAGAATTAAAGAATATTTAAAAAGTAAACAAACCCTTTTTAAGCTTGGTAACTCCCTTACATTCGTTAGAGTATTGAACTCTCAGTCTGGTTGCTTCGTTAAATTTTCATTTTGATATTTTTTCTTGCTTTTATTTATATTGGAGCGCATAAATATTTATCTACAGATTTCATGATGAAGCCGCCCACAGTCTGCCCAGATTTGGGGGCATGTGTGTGCCATAAATTCGGAGATTACGATCGGCGGATGGGTAGTGGAGGGGATGCGGAGGAGGCGACTTATGGCAGTTTATTAAAACGGATTTCGCACAAATTCAATCTGCATGTAATTTGGCATTATATACAGTTCCAGTCCCTGCCAGAAACCCGTCAGGCGGAAGCCAATTGTGACCTCTGACAAAAAAAAAAAGGGTTAACCTCGAAGGCATTTGTTGTTCTTGGCTTGTGAAAATATTGACCAGCAGCCACTGGTCTTTTTTTTCTGTATTTAAGGAGATTAAACTTTTGGCGATTTAATGGAACCCAGGCATAATTCAATGCACGTGCTGCCCACACACATCGTGTCCTCTGCCAGGACACAAACAAAGGACAAACCCTGCAGCTGGACACCACCGAGTTCTCCTTCCAAAGAATGTGTCAACGCATTTTTTATTTGTTATTATTTGATGCGTGGGTGCTCCTCGCCAAAACAGGATCTTGACGAGGTTATTGTCCTTGTGTCTGGCATACCTTTAATGGGATTATAATATCTCTCATAGGTCTCTTTTATAACTAACTGAAAATTGAATTTAAAAAAGGAAAAACCAGTTTCATAAAACTAAAAACATAATAATCATCAAGTAAAACTTGTACAAATATGTATAAAAAAAAGCTAGTTGCCAGGGGGCACCCGGATTTGAACCGGGGACCTCTCGATCTGCAGTCGAATGCTCTACCCCTGAGCTATACCCCCGACTTGATTCCAGCCAACTGGGAATGCCTTTTAAAAAGCGATGACTAAGATAAAATTATACATTTCGCATTTATCTTAAAATAGAGACGTGAAGTCAGTGAAATCAATTAAAAAGAAGAGATTCCGGGGTGTCGCTGCAGCCAGCAGCAGTCGTGTGAATCACACACGGGGGCTTCAGCGCTATTGCAATCTTATCAGGTAACTGGAGACCTGCTGCTCCTCCTCCCTCCCTCGCCAAACTGCCAACTGATAGCTGCAGGCCGACAGATGTTTTTTATATTTTTTTTTCCCCCTAGAACCCCCGAAAAATATCTGGTTACAAAAACCAAGTAAACGAAACTTTCTTGGTCACCGAAGCCGAAACTGAAACAGATTCGAGATACAGATACAGGTCACCGACGTCAGCATTGATATTGAACTTTGTGGCCACTTTGGCAAGTGTGTCGCCCATGAACCCTAAACTTAGCAGGCCAAAAAAGAGAGGCGGCTCGAGTTGCCATCAGAATTATATAAATAAATGATCGATGGCAGTAACAGGAAAAATGTTAACAAGTTAACCCTTTAAAGAGAATGTAAAGTTAGTTTTCCTATTTTTCTTTAAGCGTAAATATTTTCATTAGCCAAAAATCTGTATTATGACCATTGTATATGCAATAGAATGGTTCAAAATTTGAGACTCTTCCGTGCGGCTTTCCTTCCGCATTGCTTAGAAACCGTAGCCGGTTTCCGGCGTCTGCCAGACGTGCTGGCTGCCATTCATACACACATTTGCAGATGCACATCTGTATATATCACCATGTATCACTTGTTTCGGCCCGTGTTTTGCACTTAACGACCTTGCTGCAACACGCTCCAACATCGGCTTGCTGCACAAATCGGTGGCTTTTATATATAAGTGCAGCTCTGCCATCCGCCGCTCAGACAGTTTTATGTTCGTTCTCGCCCAAAACGTGGCCATCGAGTATCTCACTACCACATCTCGTTCACTGACACTCCAAGAGGAATCATCGTAATGGCCACCCAGCTGCTACTGCTGCTGGCTCTCATCTCCGCTGTCCTCGGCGGCTACACCCCTTCCTCCTCGGCGGATGAGTCCGGAAGCTCGAACAGCATCGGAAGCAGCAAGTGCGATAAGAATCCGCTTAGTGAGCTCACCTTCCAGCTGAGTGGAAGCAGCCTGCACTGGCCCTGCGAGTCCACCAAGAACATCTACGTCCAGTCGGGCAGATATGTGCCCAGGAATGTGATCGTGACCCGGGCCCAGCTGCAGAAGGATGCGGCCTTTGTGGTGCTGCCCAGGTATAAGCAGGGCGTGCCCTTTACCCTGGGTAAGGTGAACCTGAAGAAGGGCGAGTGCCTGACCAAAATTGCACCCTATCCCTGCTGGGCCATCCAGGAGGAGGGCAACTGCCAGGCACTGCAGTCCGTCGTGGACATTGCCGTCGATCAGAATGTGAGTGCAATTAAGGCTATTGTTTTTTATTATATCTTTTTTTTATGGGCAAGTTGTCTCATCCGAAACTGCAATTTGTGCCCTTAACTACGGGTTTTTTATTATTTTTTACGTTGACACTTCAGTGCCCTTTTTGATGCCTTTAAAAGATTTTTTTATATTTTTAACACGGACTATAGATGAGGTTATAGTATATAGTGGAATTTTTTTTTATAAAAAATATGAAAAGGATTTGTTTATAATTATTTTGACATTATTATATAATTTTTTATACAAATTATTTAATATACATTTTTCAAGTTTTTGTCATAAATACTTAGAAAAATTACAAATAGTGGTTTAATGATCATCAAATAATTTTAAACTATATAAAAATAGTAAAACTTTCGCTCTGAAAATAGTAAAAGCCAAACTGTCACATCCAGGGTATCCCTTACCCATTAATCCCCTTGAAAGTTACTCGTTTTAATCAAATAAATGGTGGCGACAAAAACCGAAGAGTTTCAAATAAAATTCATGTCTGTGCAATTGGCGCCTGCCAACCAGAAACGAAAGAAACCGGGGAATAAACGAACAGCAAGAAAAAATGGTTATGCAAATGGAATATTATAAAAGGCCAAAAGCCAAAAAGACCAAAGCAGCCTTTTGGTCTTTTTGGCCATGCAACTTTGCAGCGGAAAGTTCTCAAAAATAATTTAAACGTCGCAGGAAGTGCCAAGTCCAGAGTACCATTCACCCAAGTTTTGTGTATTTTAATTTTAATTTCAACTCCGTAAACCGCTGTTTAACTGCAAATATTTTAAGCCCGATAAGCTGTGAGCTGCAGAGCGGAAAATGTCTGGAATGTCAATTATTTTTGTATTGACAAATTATTAAATATTTACAGCGCTATTCGGTTTGTTTACACATATGTATGTGCATATTTTGAAAATGCAAAATGACCTAGTTACAATTGGCAGCGCTTCCCCCACAGATTCCAACATCAATTCGCTCTCATTTAAATGCCATTCTCGTTTAGCTGCATTTATGCAAATCATTTCTTTATTTTATTTACACAAAAGTCGTCGCAATAACCATTGCGATGTGTGCAAACGGCAAACAATAAACAACGCACATGGTATTTATTTATTTTGCTCAATTTCCCCATTCAGCGGGTTTTAATGTTATTGTTATGAGCGTTGAGTATTGAGTTCTTAACGCCGACAACATTTCAATTAGCACTTGCACACAAAAATCCAATGAATATATAATTCGCAAAATTAATCTCCGTTTTTTAAATCCCTTCCTTTTTTAAAGGGACTTCTGTGGGCCCTGGACGTGGGCATAGTGAATACTTTGGAGCAGCCCATTCGTCGCTGCGGCCCCAAGATCGTGGCCATCAACACGGCCAACAACAAGGTGGTGAAGAGCATCGACCTCAGCGACCTGGTCACCTCCGAGAGCCGTCTGCAGTTCATCGTGGTCGACTACTCCAAGGACAACAAGCCATTCGTGTGAGTTTTAGCGCAAATTAACTTTTATTTCGAACGTAAAAAGTGTCTCTTGGAAAATGTAGCGATAAAAGTGTGTTTTCTTTGTTGACTATTTTGATAAAGTGTTCCTAAATTTATTATTTCATTTTGTATAAAGAATATTCTTCTACACATTTTTATATAATTTCTTTTATCTTAAAATAATTCTTATATCAACTTTTCTTTACAGCTATGTGGCTGATGCCGGAGCTCGCAGCATCCTGGTGTACGACATCACTGGCAACAAATCCTACCGCATTGTCCTGCCCAAGGCCACTGCACCCACCAGCGACGTCCTGTACGTGGCACTCACCTCCAAGCCGGACGGCACCTCCACTCTGTTCTTCAGCTACCTGAGCTCTCCGCGCCTGTACTCCATCAAGGGCGAGTATCTGCGCGTTGGCCAGGGTGCCGGCTCCATCATCGATGTTGGGCCGAAGCCTTATGGCAAGCAGGCGGTGCTTCTGGGCGCCGATGGCGGCACCTCGCTCTTCTTCCGCTACAAGGGCGAAAACGACATCTATCTGTGGGATTCGGAGACGTGCTTTAAGGCCGCCAATCTACAGGAGGTGCAGCGTGGCGGCGACTGCCGCCTGTCCACCCAGGTCTTGCCTGGTCATAAGCGATTCATGTGGGCGCTGGAGAGTAATTTCCATGACTTCATCTCGGATCGAACGGGATGCAATGGGGCCTCCATTGTCCTACATCCGGTGGTAAAAGAGTGCGACGACTAAGGATCCCAGGATTTCAGCATAGATGCTCTTATTTATTAGGCTTAAGACTCGCCTTGATTTGTTTTATTTCGTTATCGCGTCTTATTAAAGATTTCCCATTATGCAATAACCAAAACTGAACAAAGATTAATTTTAAACATTCCGTAATTCCGGAGGAACACACGCATTATTCTCGAACACGAATCCTTCGCGGCACTTCATCATCAGGGGATACAAGTTGTTGGCCGCCGTCTCATTGACGCAAACATAGAAGTACCGGGTGTCCGCGTTCCATCCGCCAACCTGTCCGGACCGACTGCAATTGAACTGGGCGCTCAGGCATTGCTCACTGTCGCGAGGCAAGACACAGGACTCCGTGAGCGTCGAGTAGCCCGCTCCGTTGGTGCACTGACGAGGCGTATCCACCTGGAGGTCACTGCACTCATGGTAACGCCGGCAGTCATAGGGATCGGGAAACACGCCACCCTGCTGGCAGGTGAACGGTCCCCGCTTGGGCACCCGACACTGTGCCTGCCAGGTGCATCCGTAAGTGCCCTCGTCGCTGCAGTAGAAGCTGTGCTCCGATTGACAGCCCAGCATCGAGATCGTCTCCCAGCTACCAGTGGCATCCTTGACGCAATAGCCCAATGTGGTGCAGTTCAGGCACACAAAGCCTGCCGTGCGCACATCCAGGCAGGGATTTTGCTCGGATGCTTGGACCGCAACACCGAGGAGCAGGAGTATAAAGACTTGAAGTGGGGGCCACATCTCGCAGACTTTTGATGAGTTCACACAGGCTTCATGCTTTTATAGTTCCAACCTAATCAGGCCTGGGTTGTTCTAGGCATTAATTACAAAGATAAGCCATGGAAAGTTATCATACAAGGCCATAGCAATTCATTTTGAAGCTTTTATTTTCAGCTACATGAAGATAGAATGTTGTTATTCCCCCAGAAACCTTGAGAAGCTTGCAATTATTATTTATTAGTATTTGCTCAACAAGTTCCTGGAAGACATCCTAACAATGTCAGGCTAAAGATCGTGCCTGCCTGGCACTTGGAGTACTTGATCTCTTCCCCCTTTTCGGCGCAATGAAAGTAGCCAGAGCAATCAGTTGGGTCTCCAAATAAACCAAATCGCTGGCACCTTCCATCAGCGGAACTAGGAGTATCTGAAGTAGGAGTATCTGAACCGTTGCTGGTCATTAGGCAAATCTTTACCTCGGCATTGAAGACAGCGCCCGCCGGACAGTTCTGGATCTGCAGTTTTCCGCCAACACAGAGGCAAAAGCTACTGCTGGAAACTGCACTGGGACATGCAAATGGAGTGTACTGCTCCTGGCACTCCACTGTGCCGATCCGGCAAATTAAATGGCTGGCATCAAAGTAGGTTCCATCGGGGCAGTCCAGGATCTCAAGGTGCATGTCTTGGTTGCAGCGGCAAAACTCAGAAGTGTTTGTGGTTGTACCCTCGGGACACAGTGATATCTGCAGGCGTTGACAGTCAACAATGTCCAGAGACACACAGGAATCGGTGGTGCTGTTGAAGAAGAACCCAGTGGGACATGAGCGATCAGCGGCAGCAAATCCTATGGCCAAGAAGAGTAGAGTCAAGCCAACAAAGAGCCAAGTAAACTGCACACTTGATCCCATTTTGAAGATTCTTTGGGTGGAGCTGCTCTGGGCTTTCTTTTATAGTAGCACCTGTTCAGGTGAGTAAAATGTTTTGGCTTAATTAATAGATAAACTGAAAAGAAGGCGAGATAAATTTTAAAGTCAATTAATACAGGGTGTTATGACCTTGTTGTTAAAGCCAAATTGAAACAATCTTTGATGCAATTATAGTTGGTTATAAAATTGAAAATTAAAAAAATAAGTACATACTACCATGGAAAAAACATGTTTTTAATCAGATACATATTAATGCTTTAATTGAAGCTCTTTACTTTATGTTTGATAAATAAAGCTATTATTTTCCAGTTTAAAGGATCTTGTTTAATATCTTTTATATAATTATTACAAACTTCTAACTATAAATATAACACCCTAAAATGGTATAAACCACCTTGTTTGGATTCAAAACTTGAAACGTTCATATTATAATGTATTTATTTAATCGAAACCTTTTCTTTTCTGTGTTCACCAATAAGATTTCCTTTTAAACATTTTATTTATATTAGAAAAAAAACCCTTTTGTCCTCAGCAGTCGCCCAGGACGCAGGAGGAGAGCTCCGGGCGATAGTGAGTGCCCTGCGGACAGTCCATGTGTCGCAGGCTCCCGTTCAGTGCAGAGCAATAATAGTACTTCCGGCAATCGCTTCCATCGGCGATCAGTCCCACGTGCTGGCAGGTGGTTGGCATCACGGAGAAGGCGTCGTCATTTGGATCCACCACAACCACTGATGGGTCATCCGTAGGACTAGATGGTGGCTGGCCATTGGAACCGGCACGGCATACATAATCCACAAAGGTCTCGCCGTCATTGCAGCGGTGCAGCGAGGGATAAATGACGATAGTGTCGTTGAGGTTCTGGTTAACCGTCGACTTGCACACATAGAAGATGTTGCTATTGGTGGGCCACGGTGCCACGTAGCCAGCGTGGGGGCAGTAGTACTGTCGCTGCAGGCACACGGGATCGCTCAGGGTCAGAGTGCACTGGCCAGTGCGGGCGTCAAAGGCCTTGTCATTGCCACAATCGACGGCGGCGGCCACCAGAGTGGCGCCCACAAAGTAGCACATGTGATACTTCTGGCAGTCGTACGGATCCGGGAAGATGCCCTGCGAGGTGCACTGGAAGTTGCCCTCGATGCCAAACGGATGGCACGGCCCCGTCTCATTGGTGCAGGTACCCAAGCGGGCGTTGCAATAGTAACCATTGGCCACATCGCAGGACTCCACGGGTATGTTTACCCAACCGTTGGAGTGGCGAACGCAGGTGGCCAGCAGTTCACAGGACTCGCAAATGGGGCCCGGGCTTTGGCGGCCCTCGCAGGAGTTCGTTTCCCGCGGCTGTATCCGGCGAGTGGTCACAGTGGCTGCCAACGAATGGGAAACAACGTTGAGCAGCAGCTGGGAATGCATTAAGTTAATGAGGGAATTCAAGAAAATTTAATGAATTTTAAAAGAAAAGAAGATTAGCATCTATATCCAAATTCAAACCTCCTTCTTACCATGCCCACTATTAGTTTATTTAATAGCATTATGACGTAGTCCCTTTGTATTCCTCTTTCTACCAATATTTTTTTAGTCACGTCCAACTCCCACGAGTATTTCCAATTGTCTGAGGCGATGCTTCCTCCGTTGGCCCCAAAAATAGCAGAGTTAGGAGATAGCGCTTTATATCTTTTCGGTGTCTGTGTTTGCCTATCAACTTTCGAAAGTCGAATGGAAGTTGGGCAAAGTAGCAATCGCAGCAACAATTCTAATTACAACAAACAGATTGGAAGGAATGCCGCAATGATGAGTAAGTAAGGCATATTTACACAAAAGACAAAAGAAGAATAAGCAGTGAGTGAGTGTTTAATGGGTAAACAAAACCAGAAGATTTAGAGCACTTTGCAGTGTTTGTGGGCAAATATTTGGATTGACTTTCTGCCAATAAATGTTAAGAAATATCAGTCAGATATGTATATATCCATGCAACATTGAAGGAAATATAATAATTTGAATGTAATTATTTTTTTTTAATATTAAATTTTCCAAAATAACATTATGTATTATGTACATCAAATCTACAAATCTTTATATTTTTGTAAAATATTTAAATTATAAAAATATATTTAAAGCAATAGGAATTTTTATTTCTATTTAAATTCAAAACTTCCGCCAAATATAGCTTACATTTAATCGATAATAAAAAATGTAATCGATTTTTATGGTTGTGCTATAAACAATCGATTGCTGCTGTTTAACCCGTGTGACCAACGGGTGCGAAGTTGAAAATCCATTCGCGTTATCTGGTAACATTAATTTTGCACTGGAGGGTGATACAAAGGATAAGAAAGGAAACAAAGGAAAAGGAACAAAAACAGGCCCAAGGATGAGCAAGTTACCTGGCGGAAATCTGGAGTTTGTCCGCGAGGACGACTTTGTGGAGTACTACATATTCCCCAAGCTGCCGGACAACCTGCGTGACGAGGCGCAGCTGCAGCAGCAGATGCTGAAAATCCGCTCCGAAATCTCGGCTATTGTGAAAGAAAAGTCCCTGGAACGCAGTTTCCTCTGGCACAAGGACGAGTTCCAGCTGCAGATCCGGACGGGCAGCGCCCAGGAGCGGCTGCTGAACGAGGAGACCAACGCGGAGGAAGAAGAGGAGCTGGGTAAAGACGCCGCTGCTGCATCTAAAAATAGTTTCAAACAAAGATCATTTCATTTACATTCCATGTCCCCGCCCAGGTGACCTCCCGCCCCATTTCCACGGCGTAACTCATTACGGCGACAACATCAGCGACGAGTGGTTCATCGTGTATTTGCTAACGGAGATCACACGTGCTCGTGGCGACTGCATTGCCCGCGTCAGCGATTCGGATGGCGAATTCCTGCTCATCGAGGCGGCCGACACCCTGCCAGATTGGGCGTCACCGGAGACCTGCGAGCAGAGGGTTTACATTGTCGGAGGCTGCCTGCAGCTGCTCCAGAATTCGGCCGCCAGCAGCCAGGAGAAGTCAATCAGCATGGCCACGGCTGTGCAGCGCATCCGATTGAATCCCACCCTGTACCGCTGCTCCCGGGAAATACAGTCGTGCATCGACGCCCGGTTAAAGGAGTTCCAGATCGCCCAGCCCCACTTTTCCATCCACCGCCAGGTTCTGGAGCTCCCGCAGAGCGCGGCACAGCTGCTGAAGCAACAGCCGCGTCTGGTGTCCGCCGCCGTGAGGGCATTCTGCGACCGAGACTCGCTGGACACCAAGGCATTGCGCACCATGCGCTACTTCCCACCAGAGGCCAAGCGCCTGCGCACCAACGTGCGCTTCACTCGCTGTCTCTACGCGATGCTGATGCACCAGCAGTACGTGCCGGAGAAGCGGCTGGGCTGGAACCTCACCGATGCCGTATCCCAACCGGAACTGTACAAGGAGCAACTCATGGGCGTGAAGCTGGCCAGCGGACTGGAGATCCTGGCCAGCCAGGCCAAGCGGGTGGAAAACCAACAGCTGGAGGAGACCCCCGCGTGGCGTTCGTATCTGCGGAGTCTGCAGGGCAAGGGCTACTTCCGCGACAACATCGAGGGCAGTGCCGAGTACCAGGAGCTGCTGGCCAAGGCCAAGGACTACTTTCGGGGCAACCAAGAGCGTTTTAGAACAGCCACGCGCGTGGGTGCTGAAATCCTAGAACTGCTGCTCCATCCGGCGGAGGCTGCGTCCGAGGAGCTGCGGGACGAGGAGAACAACCTGCAGCCCAGCGACTCTGACGAGTGGCTAAACATCAGCGCCGAGGATTTGGACTCCATGCTGCAGGACCGTTACGGTCCGCAAAAACTCTACAAGCCGAATGGGGACATCAATGCCGAGGAGTTCACCAAGCAGCTGTCCGACTTTCTCGATCGCCAGTCCAACTACGAAGGTATCGAGCACCGCGGCCACGAGGAGCCGGAGCTAGACTCCGACGACGATGAAGAGCCAACGCAGCGGGCCAAAACGTCCCCTCCCAATCCGGGTTTCGGGGCCAAGGTAAAGAAGAATGCGTCCATGAGGAAGGCCTGCCAGCGCAACTCACTCATTCAAACCGAGGAGCCGGACAGCACCCATGTGCGCAACTTCCTGGACTTTGTCATACCGGAGGACAACTGGGACTCCACCTCGGAGATGAGCGACTACGCGGACGAGGATGATCTGGAGGGCAATCTGAAGGCACTGGCCGGCTCGGCAGCCGCTGTTTTTCCGCTCGACCGACAGATCCAGTCGTACATGCAGCAGATGGATCGCGAGCTGGCCCAGACATCCGTGGGCAAGTCCTTCCACGGGCAGAAAAAGAAGAAGGCTGAAGATGAGGACGACTTCGATGACATTGAGGACTTTGAGCCCATCAATATCAATGTGAACACGCTGCGCAACATGATGGACAGCTACCAATCGCAGGTGGGCGGCGCTGGACCCGTCTCCAATCTCTTTAGCGCCATGGGCGTGGGTATGGCAGCCGCTGGCGATGATCAGGATCAGCCCAAGGATCTCTCCGAATCGGCCGTTTGAACCGGATAAACAGGGATTATTCTAGTCTTAAGTCCGTCAAATAAAGTAAATATAATTGATTGTAATATTTGGAGTATTCTCTTATATTTATGCTACAATTCCGATTCCTAATCCTTGGAGGCAGGCACAAAGTTTCCATAGTCGCGTCTCACCTTCATGGGCGGCTCGCCGCTGGGAGGATCGTGGCGCGGGTTCTGGTCAAAGGAGCGCTTATGGCCACCGGAATCGGAATGCGAACTGTTGTGGTCGTGCGATCGTCTATAGCCACCGGAGCCGGATCCTCCATCGTAGCGGTCCCGTCGATCGCGATGATGGTGACGACGGTTGTCTGTGAAAACAATCGTTGATTATTAGTTGAGGCACTCTAACTATAGAAATTTACCTCTGAATCCCCTGTCATGGTTGTTGTGGTAACCGGCTCCTCCGCGCCTCTGCCATCCCCTATCGCCGCCGCCGACGCCGCCGCCGCGCCGGTGTCCATTAAAGCGGTTATATGGGTGGTAGCCACCACCTCCTCCACCCGAGAAACCGCCACCGCCTCCTCCTCCTCCACCGCCGCCCCCGCCCATCCAGTTCTCAACGATTGGCGGCTCCGGCACAGGCTTGCTGCAGTGCGCCACAAACTCTGGATCGTCATCTGTGAAGCGGCCGGCGAACTCTAGCTCGCAGGACTCCAGGAAATTGAGGTCCTTGTCCGCCAGGCGGTTTATTTTTCTATTGGGGTCGACCATTACTCTGATAATATAAATAACTTAATTCTTGTCGCGTTTTGTGTTCAGCGCATCAGCTGGTTTTAGATGAGTTCTGCCAAAACAGGGCACGTTCAGCTACTTTTGCAATTAAAAAAGTATTTATATATTAAGTGTTTTATTTTTCTTAAAATGTATGTACAAGTTAAATGTGTCTTTTAATATTTTAACTAAATAATGTAAGATAATTATTAAAAATATATTTCTTAGCTGAACGTGCCCTGGAAGTATTATTTCCCAATGCAAACCCGGTCACACTACTCAAAACGTTGCGGGGGAGTTTTCCGCGGAAAAATGCCATTAATTAGCCAGTTAAACGGTTTATGTGCCGCCTGCCATTACTAGAGAGCAGAACATGTCCGCGCCTCGTTGCCACAGCCAACCAAGGATCCACACGCACACACAGAAGCGCGAGGAGCAGCCGCACCACGTCAGCGGTGGTCGGAGCACGAGGAGCCTTCCCCAGCGCCGCCACTAGCCATGGAACAGTCCGTGTCCACTAGGTGGCTGCGGCGCTACCGCGCCTTCTTCCTCGTCCTGCTGCTCATCGTTGCCATCCAGCTGTTTCTGGCCTACAAGTCTCTGGACATTGTCGGCGGCAGTTCTGGGTCTGGGCTGGACGCTGGTGAATCCCCCCCAGCCCAACCACCGCCCCCGCAGTCTGCCGCACAAGTCCAGCCCGCATCCAGAACCAAGCTAACCGCCCAGCAGCTAGGCTTCCAGCCCGAGTGCGACATCCTCGCCCGCGAGGCCATCTCGGCGCTGCAGCGCGCCAAAACGAAAGACTGTCGAGAACATATCGCGCAAATCGCCTGCGCCATCCAAGCGGGTCGCTTCTATGCTCCCCAGCTCCGGAGTAGCTGTCCCTCGGGCAATCACACGGCCAATGTGTCGCTGGGCTGCTACAAGGACGAAAAGGACCGACGCCTGCTAGCGGGTTACTACAGCAGCTCCAAGACCTCAAATTCACCAGCCCTGTGTGTGGAACTGTGCCTGCAGAGCGGTTATCCGTATGCGGGTGTCCAGTACGGACGGGAGTGCTTCTGCGGCTTCGATGCACCGCCACGGGCCGCCAAACTGCCGGACTCCAGCTGCAACACCAAGTGCCTGGGCAACGCCAAGGAGATTTGCGGCGGCTTTTATGCCATGAATATCTACGAGACGGGCATAGCCAGTAAGTACTGTAGCGGGATTTTATTTAATTTTTGTAGTTTGATCAGGAAGTAACCCTCTTTAGTCGCGTTTAAATGTCTTTAAAGACGTTAGAGAATTATAAATAAAATATACTCCTATATTTATATATAATTTCTTATTACTTTTACAGAGTTCACTGCCCAATTGGCGGCCACCACAACTCCACCGGCGGGTGTGAAGCGCGTGCGTATCGCATTTCTGCTGACGCTCAACGGACGAGCGCTGCGTCAGGTGCATCGACTGCTGAAGGCCCTCTATGCTCCAGAGCATGTCTACTACATACATGTGGATGAGGTGGGTCAACGGCCGGAACTTGGCAATTAAAAAAAGCGCGCGTAATGAATTTTGCTAATTAGCACAATTTACAACGGCCAAAATAAAGACAGCCACTGAAATAGATTTATTAATGGTCTGTCTAGCTGCTAGCTAACCGCAGCTTAAATGCCTTGAACTAGTTAGTTAGTTACTGGTTATGTTAGCTAGCTCGTTTAACGCGCGAGTATGCACTATGTGCGCTGCATTTAATTTGCATTGTAAACTAATTGCTGATCTGTTTGTGTTGTTTGAGATAACTTATCAGGGAGAGACACTCTCTGACTTATAAAAATGTGTCTCTTGTAAAGCCTGAAGCTCATAGAAATATTATTTTTTATTAAGCTATTTTAATTAATATATTATTTTCCTTTTTTCATTACCACCCTTTAGCGCCAGGATTACCTTTACCGAAAGCTGCTCGAGCTGGAAACCAAGTTTCCCAACATCCGCCTTGCCCGCAAACGCTTCTCCACCATCTGGGGCGGAGCCTCGCTGCTTACTATGCTGCTCCAGTGCATGCAGGACCTGCTGCAGTCCAACTGGCACTGGGATTTTGTAATCAATCTCAGTGAAAGCGATTTTCCTGTGAAAACTCTTGACAAACTGATGGATTTCCTCAGCGCCAATCCAGGCAGGAATTTCGTTAAAGGCCATGGCCGGGAAACGCAAAAGTTCATCCAGAAGCAGGGCCTGGACAAGACATTCGTGGAGTGCGACACGCACATGTGGAGGATAGGAGATCGCAAGCTGCCGGCAGGCATTCAAGTGGATGGCGGCAGTGATTGGGTGGCGCTGTCAAGAGCCTTTGTGACCTACGTTACCCATCCCAAACAGGAGGATGAACTGCTGCAGGCCCTGCTCAAACTCTTCCGACACACTCTCTTGCCAGCGGAGTCGTTCTTCCACACGGTGCTCAGGAATACCGAGCACTGCACGAGCTATGTGGACAACAACCTTCATGTGACCAACTGGAAGCGAAAACAGGGATGCAAATGCCAGTACAAACACGTGGTGGATTGGTGCGGCTGCAGTCCCAACGATTTCAAGCCGGAGGATTGGGCCCGGCTGCAGGCCACGGAACAAAAGTCACTGTTCTTTGCCCGCAAATTCGAGCCGATTATAAACCAGGCGGTGCTGCTGCAGCTGGAGGAGTGGCTGTACGGCCCGTACACCAGCGAATATGCCAATTTGCACGGCTACTGGCAGTCCCTGTATCACCACGAGGATGTTCATGGATCTGGCGATGATCTGGCCAGGAGCATAGGCGATAGCGTGATGCGTTTATCTGCTCGCCAGGCCAAGCTAGATGCCCTGGAGCTGATAGAACTCACTCACTACCTTCACCGCGATCAGTACAAGGGCTTTGTGGTGCGCTACAGGGCCAGAAAGTTATCTGGGGAGCCGCTTCACTTGGAGACACGAGTGCGTCCCGTGCAGCAGGGCAAGCTGGCGAGAAATGCCCGTTTCAGCAAGAGATTGCGCAACTTCGAGGTCTCCACGGACTTTGATCAAAAGGAGCAGGTGGCCCGGAACTTTGCCAAGCTCTTGGGTCCCCAAAGTGAGCTCCTCCTGAGCTATACTCTGCAGGCTACATCGGACACGGGCGCAGCTTCCCACTCCTACAACCTTACGCTGCTGTGGATCGATCCTCTCGGTCGCCTCCAGGACTTTAACGAGCTGCATGTGGAGGACTCTTCCAGCGATGTGATCAATCACTCGAAAACCCTGCTCAAGCATCCACTGACACCTGGCATCTGGACAGCCAAATTGATAGGACGCAGCTCCATCTATGCGCAGCTCAAATTCCTGATTTCCCCGCTTGCCTACCACAAGGGTTATCCCCTGGAGAAGTCCTCAGAGGCGGAGCAGCTCAATGCTGGCCTCACAGTGGCCCTGCCCGAGGACTTTGAAGTGCCCGTGGAGTGGCAGCAGTACCTCCATACCGACGACGAGCAGTTTATCCTGCGCGAAGAGTCCCTGGCCAAGGGGAAGATGCTGGGACAGGATTTACACAGTTGGATTGATGGATTGGTGGGGAAATTCTTTCAACTCCGCGAGAGCTGCTTGGTGGAGACGGATATTGCCGATGTGAACCTGCCGCTCTGCAGCGACGTGGCCTGGAGCTCCCTGGCTCCCGATCCCAAGAGCGATGTGGATGCCCTGCTCAAATGAGAGCCAGCCATAAATCAGTTTTTTGTTATTAATTTTTTAGTGTAAATACTCGCCAAGATGTAACCATTTTTTATAGCTCTTTTCCTCCTCCTTCTCCTTCTTTTTATAGATTATTGTGATAATTGTGAACTAGTGCAACCAAGCGCCATTTTGACCGGAGGTGGTTCTCCACCACTCCACATGTAATTTGATTTTTAAATAGTAATTGAGAGCATAGCATTTTGCCGTTTAGCCAAGTAAGTTAGAGATTTGATCGCCTTGTAAATACGCAACGCACACTGGACACCAAATGAACGCATTGCAGCCAAAAATACCGTGGAGGCAATCCAGAGTTAACTGTACATAGGGTTAGCTAGACGCAATATTCCTTAACTAAGTCATAAGTTAGGGCAACACCAGAGATAGCAATTTGCATTCACAGTTTTCTTCGATTTTTTGATTCACATATCAGGTTATCCAAAATAATAAATGAGCAATTCTACATGTACTTAGTGGTTGTTCAAAGATTCATTGGTTAAAATCTCCTCCTCCTCCTTCTCCTGAACACCCCCGGGGTACGTTTGGGGCCGGAATTCCAGGTATTCTTGATGTATTTAGTAGGTTAGACTTAAGTAGACTTAAAGCCAAGGCTATTTTGTACTGCCGTTTAGCTGCCGGCGGCGGGCAGCCCTTAGATGCACAGATCCTCGTCCGGATCCTCCTCGTCAAAGTCATCGTCGGCATCGGGTGTGTAGATGATGTTGCCCTCGGAGGGCTCGCTGGTGCTGTAAGACAGGTTTTTGGTAAATTGGATACTATGCACCATCACTAATCTTACCGTTCATATGGCAGGGTCAGTGCATTGCGGGCCACCACCTCATCCTCGTCGAGCTCGATCTTAAAGGTGCTGCTGGCCGGCTCCGGTGTCTGTTCCACCTCGGGCGTTGCTTGCTTGTTGGGTGAACCGGCTGCTGGGCTTAAACTTCCTCCTCCTCCGTCCAGCGGCGTCACCTCAAACTGGGTTTTGCTGACCTGACAGGCATACCGTCTGTTGGTCACCCCACCGCCTGGCTTGCGTGAGATTAGCGACAGCCTGGTGTCTGTCTCTAGGCGCAGCACAAGTTCGGCAAGGTACTCGCAGCCCGCCAGGATGTACGCAGCATGGGGATGCTGCAGGTGCTGAGGAGAAGCCCAGAGGAACACCCGACGCACATACTCCGAGCGACGCAGCCGGTTGAGGAAGCCGAAGATGAAGGCGGGCGACTGGTAGCACAGCAAATCGGCCAGCGTTGGCAGAATGACGTTGTAGCCGGTGGTCTTGGAGGCCGGAGCATCCAGATCTCCCGCTTCCACGGACTGGATGCTGCTGTTGTTGTTATTGTTGACGTTGTTGTAGTTGGCACACTCGGTGACCAAAGCATTGAAGCTGGCCACGTGCTTCAGGTGAATGCCGGCGGGCATTGCCTTGATGGTGTCCGCCCCCTGTCCCTGCTCGTGCAGCAAGCTGCCGATGAACTTGGGGGCAATGCGCTCCCGATTTAGCTCATCTGTAAGTGGATTTTGTGGGGGACAAGGAGGTTAGATTATTGGCACTCGCTGGTGTTTATTTTGGCTCACCTATCACGAGGACCACCTTCTGTTTGGTCACCACCAGATTGGATAGCATTTTAATTGTTAATCTTTTGATTCAAGAGTTGTTAATTGTGCTGCTTTTTGATGTGCGCCAAAATGCCACAGAGCTTGTGGATTTAAAATGGGCCATGTGTTGGTCACACTGGGGCTATTGGCTTTCCAGGGCTGCACAACAAATAGTTAAATTTATAAAATATCTAACAGTTTTTTTAGTTTTGTTAATTTTGTGTGTTCTGATTAACTAAGATTTCATTAAATTTTGTAATATGTTTTTATTTTTATAATTATTTTCCAAGCTTTTGTGCTCTTCTGTTTGTAGTTGTGCCGCCCTGGTTAAACCGTTTATTTCCAAGTGAGTAAACAGAAAAACAAAGCAAAGCGGCTAAACAGATCGAATTACACAGCCCTTTGATAGTGAAAGTTTGACCTTGAATTTAAACGCTTATACTAAATTAAGTGACAATAAATAAGCTAAAGATGAATGGAGGCAGATGATCGGATGCTGACGTAGTTGGATTCGCGTTGTGCCTCTTTTTTTTCTTGCCAAATTTCAGTGATCTCTTTGTGTTCGTGCCGTTTTTGTTCTTGTTTTTTTGGAAGGCGCGTGTCTAATTGGATATCCGCAATTACTGGATATTAATTAAATATACAAACTGTAAGTAGAAACTATTACATTTTAGCCACGTTTCTGAATGTAGTTGGTAAACAAATACAACTAGGTTTCGGCTTTTCATTAATATCTAACAAGTGGTTGTAGTTCTCGCTCTCTATCTCTCTCTCTATCTCTGCGATTGTATGTATGTATGCATTTGAAAGTTTGTTGTGTACATGAGTGTGCATGGGTTTTTACCGTTCTAAGCTTGCAATAAAAAGCTTGTTTATATGAAAGGGCCCAAAAAAGGGGGGCGGGATGAGACTTCGCTTTCAGGGCTTTCACGCCCACACGCAGCGCCTTTGCAGACGAATTTTCCACCGCTTTTCCTCCATATGGCAGGTTACAGCTTCCTGCATTTCAGGCCGTTAGTTCAACAAGTAAAGAGCGTTTTTTTGGAGTCGCGTAGTGGAAAATCTACGCAAAAAAGAGTGTGCGAAAAACCCATAACGTCATTGCTTTAAAGACTTTAATTGGGTGCTAAAAGATAAGCGAAGGCGGTATTAAAACCAGTCATTATCTGTGAAGCGAAGAAAAACATCGAGTATACGCCATGTTGTTCTCACTGGGTGAGTGTATGTAAATACAGTGGTACTTCTGTGTGATGAATTAAATAAAAGAGTGCAAGTAGAAGTTAGTTTTCATGGAAATAGGAAAATTAAAGGAATTACACCTTTTACCCTTGCAGGGTATTATATTTTCAATCAGAAGCTAGTAACGAAGTGAAGGAGTCATTTCCGAAGCTATAAATTACATATATTTTTGATCAGCATCAACCGGCGAGTCTTTCTAGCCAAGTAGGAGAAAAATAAATTTTTTTAAATTTTTTCCCAAATTTTATAAGGGGTTACATCATTAAAATTTTGAAAAATGGCCAAAAATTTTGATTTAAAATTTTGTATGCAGACTTGTAGTCCTTTGAAAAACTAACACAGAAAAGCTTTCCAAATTGAATTTGATGCATTTTTGACTAAGTTGTGATATATTTTTGATTCGATGACATGATCCTATGAAGGGTAAAGAAATGTGAAGGAAGACACTTAATGTAATCGTACTATGATATTACTGCTATTTTTGTAATTGTGAAAATGCTAAACCGATAAGGTTAGCCGGCGCGCCCGATTTAGGGCTGAATTAACAGACACAAAGGACACAAAGGGGAAAACAGCACTCCCCGTATGCCTTAATAAATAAAAGGAAAAAAAAAAAAAGTTTCCTTTTTTGCTTTTATGCATATAATTTATTCGGTCGAAAATGACTCCTTCACTGCGTTGCAAACTTCTGACTAAAATCAAAAGAATCATAAGAGTATAATAAACATATGAATTAGTGTTCTTTTTTCTGAGCTTCCACTGTCCTCCCCCCTTTAGGGTCTACAACTCTTAGTTATCTACCATTCCGATTTCGAGTTAAATAAGTTCTACTGCATTATTCCATTATTATTATGCATAGAACATTAAAGTCAAAGCCAAAGCCGCAATTGAAATGCAGGCAACTCGGTCGGTGACAACAATAATAGTTTGAATGGAGCTGAGGAATGCAAAAAAATAAATCCCCATTGCACCCACCATTACCCCCTGTTCCGAACCAGCCAAAACAACCTGGTCTGGCATACTAACCAGCGTTTCTTGGCACCTATCCATCCCCCGCCATTGGAATTAACATCAAAAACCAAACAATTATCCCGAACAGCGGGCAAAAATCGCATGCGATACGTTTGTGGGCGAGGAAAAGCTTTTATTAACCAACGCCGGGCGGCGGCTGGAAAACTTTAAATTCAGTTGCGCATTGCACGCCGAGCTGTTCGGTTGGCCAAATCGTCGTGTTTCGTTTTATTTAGTGTAGCTTTCTCCCCGTGCCGTTGTTGTTGCTGTTCTCGTGTTTTAACGCTGACCAATTGCATGCGTTTTTGTGGTTAATTGTTGCTGGTGAACTATTGATTAATCCGTAAACGGACACTAGACCACAGACAATACACAGACATGTCTAAGGACTCGGACGTTGAGCAGGCGGTGAAGGAAATCAAAGTGGAGCCCGCCATGGCGCAGGAGTCGCCTGCAGTGCCGGCAGCAGCTCCTGCTCCAGCTTCAGTTCCAGCCACAGTCTCTACCGCCACAACGGTGATCGCTGTGACCAATGGAGAAAAGCCAATGGAAGTGACACCTGCAGCAGCAACATCAGCAATACCAGCAGCAGCAGCAGCAGCGACAGCAACAGCAGAACAAGTGCAACCAGCAACAACCATTGGAGGCATTGAATTGGCAGCAACGGCAACAGGTAGACGACAGTGAATGGCATTGGCTTGGGCTTCAAGTTTGATTAGTGCAAAGTAAAATCAACTAGCAAACACCAACAGTTAAAAAGACACAGAGAGAAAATATAGATTATTTTTAATTCGGTGATATTCAATTATTATTATTAATTTTAATATAATTTCCTTTCAAGTTATTATGACTGCTTTGAGGTAGTAGAAATATCCCTATAAAGATGGTTGGCTCTCTTTTAGAAACAGGGGGTTGACTTGCTTCTGAAATAATAATGGGTACAACCCTAGTTGTTGATTGGTGTTCTCCACAGTTGTTAATCATCATAAAACTGCAACGATATATTATATATTTTGGTTAATTGAAATTTGTTTTAAAATATTTTAATTACATTTTTGTTTCTGTGCAACATTTAGTTTTTAGTAAAAGTTAAAGCAAAACGCACCATGCCAGATCGAGAGAAAGAGCGACTACTGCATTGCCTCCCACTTCACCTCCTCTTTTCACCGGCCTCTCATCACGACTCATCGCAACTAGCTGAATTTCACTTTAGTTTTTCAGCCTTTTTATTTATTTTACTTTTGCTGTCTTCGAATTTTTACGCTTTTCCAAAGTCGTCATCGTCGCCCGGTCTGCTCGGGCCCGAGTTTTACTTTCTGTGCGCTTATGTAGATTGTTTCTTTTTCAAATTTTGCGCACGATCTGCTGCAACGCTTTGCTGCTCATCGGCAGCAGCAGCCAACAAACTAACAAAGAGCCAAGCAGCGGCGCCTGGGCACGCCCACTTAACCCTAATTATTAACAATCATAATCGCAATTAATGTTCCAATTAATTTCACTCGCCAAAGACGATCCATCCCCAAGTCAAAATGGAACAAAGCAGAGCCGTCGAATTTATTGAATAACTGGAGACGACGACTTCGTGGCTACTGCCATTTTTATATATGTATGTACATAGGCATCTTTAATTGCGATTGCACATTAGCTACAAATGTCTCTGGCCCACTTATCAGTCAATTTACAAGTTAACAGCTAGCGAACGGGGCTTATTTGCAGTTTGCTCGAGTTTGAAATTGAAACGTCATTTGCATACAAAACTTCAATTAGCTTGGCCCTTATCGCGGGTGCAAGTGCACCAGGAAAGTCTGAGCATTAGAGTGTACCTAAAATATTGAAATAGTTATCAATGATAATTTAAGATTCTAGAAGCTCTCTTATACGAGTGAATGGAATTTTTTAATTTATTTAATGTGCCATTTCGCCAAACATCAAATATTGGACACAAACTTGCTAGATGCTATTTAAAGCGCTTTAATATCAGATGGTTAGACTATCTCGGGAACATGCTGATAACACTTTTCCGGCTGCCAGATAAAATGCGGAAAAACTCTGTCGCTGTATAGCGGCTGGCACAGAAATTAATGTTGGGTAAACAAAATAAAAGTGTTTACTAATGAATTAGCCAAATTAGGCCTGCTGAGTGGCCCGTGGAGATGGGATTGGGGCTGGGCCGTTTGGTGTCCGTTCAAGTGTCCGAGTGTTTTTCACATAAATTTCTAGACACATTCAATATGTTTGGATCTGGTCAGTGGCAATATTTATTTGCTGGCTGTATCGGATTGCTGGCGACAAAGGAGCTCGTTTGTTTTTGTAGAACGGCTGCAGCTGGCCATTGATACAGATCAAATATTTCACAAAAAAAAAATCGATCGAGATGTAAACATAATGCGTCTAGAAACCATATATTTATAGTTCTCTGCATTGCCTCTCGGAATTAGTAAAACAAAGTATTTGCTGAGGTCCTGGGAACCGAGAACCTGTACACTCATCTTGTTAAATACAACATTAACCTGGACCCGTATTATAACATAATTTATTTCTAGAGAAGTTTGTAAAATCGATTAACCAGCATCTGGCAGGTATAAAAAGAAAGTAATTTGCGTGCTGCTATGACCAGAGCAGAAGCGATTATGAAAGACTTCCTGTCTATGACTCAGCAGGTTAACTTGATTTTAGGACCACATTTCAATTTGATTATAATCTTACGACGGCAGCCTTGGATCGCTTATAGGAAAGTGTTTCTGGTTATTTTAATCGACGTCAAATGGTAACTCAATCTTTTTTTTTTTTTTGTAAGGGCTATAAACCCAAAATATATGTACATATGTTCATACGAGTGCGTTCGCTCGAAATCTGTACCCTTGAGTTGCGCGATTAGATCGCAAAAATGCGTGGAATGCGTAATGCTCACTTAATGGAATCTATTTTTATTTTCCATCCCAATTACAGGCAGCGGAAAGGCCAACATGGACCCGGCGCTGATCAACTTTAAGGTACTCTATGTGCTCACCCAGCTGTGCGGTCTGACGATGATCGTCCTGGTGGGCACTTGGATTGGCCAACATTTTGGCGGCCTGGGCGGCACCGCCAATCCCAAGCTAGAGTTCAACTGGCACCCGCTTTTCATGACCATTGGCTTTATCTACTTGTATGGAAACTGTAAGTAAATGCAGCGGAAAAGGTGCCACCACTCCACTCCCATTGATTAACTCCAATCCCACAGCTATACTGATCTATCGCGGCTTCCGCACCACGCGCAAGAAGACATTGAAGCTTACCCACGCCGGCATCCATATGGCCGCCTTCATTCTCACGGTGATTGCACTGAAGACGGTCTTCGATTCGCACAACCTGGCCAGTCCGCCCATTCCCAACATGTATTCGCTGCACTCGTGGCTGGGCCTGTCCGCGGTGATCGTCTTCTCGCTGCAGTATGTTGCCGGCTTTGTGGCCTTTCTGGCGCCTGGTCTGCGGGAGAACTACCGGATTGCGATGATGCCATTGCACATTTATTTTGGGCTTTTTGGCTTCGTTCTGGCCATCGCCAGCGCCCTGATGGGTCTCACCGAGAAGGCCATCTTTGCCATGTGAGTATGATTGTGTTAGTATGCTATCAAGAAGATTATTAACTGAATTTTTTTTGCAGTACAAATCCAGCGTACTCCACGCTGCCGCCTGCTGGTGTCCTGGCCAACGTAATTGGCGTTCTGTACGTGGTCTTTGGAGCCTTGGTCGTCTACCTGGCCACGGAACCCTCCTACAAGCGTAAGCCCATACCCGAGGATACGGCTCTGCTGAACTCTAGCTCCGCCAATGAGTAAGGATCATGCAACCGGGCCCCAAACCAGCTGCTTTGCGTACACAAGCTAAAAGAAAGGAACTGTGCACAAAACCAAACGAAACCGAAACCTGATCACACGAATGGTGCTTTTCGATGAGGAAGGAAGTGGGAGATGCGTGCTGTTTGTATTCGTCGAGATGCATGTTTAATCCGTAGCAAATATATAACTTAATGACTATGTATGGTTCTGAATTATCCACATACGTATACTTGGATCACCAGTGGTGCAAAGATTTCAGCGAGTGCTCAAATCTAACTTTTAAGTAACTTAACCTCATGCAGAACATTTGCTTTGAACTGTATCTATGTTATGTGTGTTATGTCTAAATAAATAAATCAATATTGATACTAGTCCAAGTTGTTTTTATTTATTTTGGGCAAGTCAAGAAGATCAAGATCACAACGACGATTTTTTAGAGCAAATTTTAATTTTATTGGATTTAATAATAAAATACGTTGGATGGAAAAGAAACGATCGTTCGTCCCAAAAGTATGCTATTAAAAATATCCAGTCGTGAAGTTTTTATAACAGTTTATAACAGTTCTCCGTAGCATGCTGCTGCCTTCTGCTCTTTTCTTGGGTTCGTGGATATCTTACTTTATTGGTATATACACGGAATGCATTAGATCTAATCTCTGGTAAATTCAGCTAGTCTTCTTTGGCCCCCGCGGGCGGACGGTGCGGCAGGAACTCGTAGTCTTTGTCGGTGCCAATAATGTAAGTGGGTATGTCGCCACGTCCCTTCACGAAGGTCATGCCCCGGTAATTGCACTGGATGTTAAACTCGCGCAACTTCAGGGCTGTATTCTCGGTAACCTGTATCTGCCCCGGCACCCCCGTGGAGTCCATACGCGACGCCATGTTAACGGGATTGCCCCAGATATCGTAGTGCGGCTTGGATATACCCACCACTCCGGCCATGGCCCGTCCGTGGGAGATACCGATCCGGAGCATTCCATAATCGGTGCTGCCGGCATACTCTGTCTGCATATTCTCCGCATTAAAGCGCCGCATAGTCCGCATCAGATCCAAGGCGAATTCGGCCATTACCCGAACCACTTCGCTGCCGCTGTTGCTGCCGCTCTGCATGGTGCTCATTCGCGGCTGACTCGTCACCACATTGCCCTCGTACTGACCCCGCTCCAGGTCTAGATCCAAGGCTATGTTGCTGCCGTTTCCGTAGGGAACACGCTGCACTCCATCTGCATTGGAGCTACGGGCTCCGTCGTAGCGACTTCTCCGTCCATTGGGCATAAGCGAGACGTTGCGGAACTTCATCTGGGGCGCATTAACCTGTTCCGATCGGGACACGTCCAGGCCACAGGCTGCCATATACGTCCAGTTGGCCACCTTGATCTTCTCAACGCGCAGCGACTGGGAGTATTTGTTCAGCTAAAGAAAGGGTTTAAAATAAGCGCAGAATAAGTAAGAGTAAGTAAGAGATTGCTATCCTTGAAAATACTCCCTCCAATTAAGAGTCATAATGGGATTCCCCGAGGGCAAGACACAACTACTTACCACATCGTCAAAGTCACAGATGATCTCGTTAAGAACCCGCAGTCCAATTTTGTCGGTGTCAAAGTTCTTGATCGAGGCAAACATCACAGCCACATTGTCGTACTCCTCGTAGTACAGTTCGTTCTGCAGTTGGTTGGACAGGTAAAAGTCAGCTGAAAGAGGGAATTGTGGGCATAATCATAGGTTTACTAAGTGTCTTGGTTAGCTACCTACCAACGTGAGTGGGTAAAATGTTGGTTAGGAGCACTTTGATGGTGTCGTTGGTCATCAGAGCATCTTCTTGCTTTTTCATAAGCTGTCGCTTCCAGCTGTTAAATTGGTAAACTGATGAGTATATCAAAACTTGGATAATTTACTCTTTACTCACCTGTAATCCACCTTGGCTATGAACTCCGTTTGTCGCTCCATCAGGTGGAAGATACCCAGCGTGATGATCATGAGCAGGACGTGTGAGTAGCGGGCATTGAAGTTGACGTTGGTCGAGGGACTGTTTGAATAAATATAATTAAATTCAAACACCACCAGAGCTGCATAGGCTATGGTGATCACAGCGGAGAAGCAGGACTTGATGATGAAGGGTATCCGTGTGAAGAGGAAGGACATGCCAATTATCAGGGTCATGCAGTTGGTGAGAATCTGTGGGCGACATTTTTTGCTTAATTTATATGTTTTCTTATGATTTCTGTAGATTTCCCTTACCCAAGGATGGAAGCACTGCACTCGATCCTCCACACTCGGATTATCGTCCATGTAATCATCATCGCTGCTGCATCCCACCACCTGCATTATGGCCACGGCCACATACGAAAAGATGGTTAAAAAGTAGATCACAATACGTATGTAGACATTCCGCTGCATCACGTCCGACAGGTGGAAGAGGAAGCCGCTGAGGCTGCTATTCGGAGCGGTCATCTCCGCATCCGAGACGTACATTATCCAGAGCTTCTTGTACCAGGACACAACCAGCAGCATGGTCAGCAGAATGATAGTGGTGCCATCTATGTACCAATAGTGATAGCGGGCACTGGAAGAGGGTAATATCCAAGGTTAGCATTGGAATATTTTCTGGCTTAAGGATCCTATCTCACTCACTCCTTGCTCAGCAACTGAATCGTGAGCAGTCCCATGTAGATGGCCCAGGACAGGGCAATGCTGTACTTGAGCATCACGTCCGGTTCCTGCATGTACTGATACTCCCAGTTGCGGATGCGGAAAAACAGGCAGAAGGAGCTTATGTTGCGCCGGAAGTTCTCCTCCTCGATTTCATCCTGGGTTAAGCGCGTGCTCCGCCGAAACACTTTGGTCAGTCTGAAAATCATGGATATTAACTCTATATTTCCCCAAAAAAAAACATTGCCCTCCATTTGACTTACTGTATACGTCCAATGGGCATCTTGTCCAGCTCACGACACATCTCCAGCTTGGCCTGGTTGCGTACCTGGTTGTACTGGTGCAGCGTGGAGTTGTGCATAAAGTTCGCCTTGCTGGCCTCGCTTAGCTTCTTGGCCTGACGCTCGCGCTCCCTGCGTCGCGGATCATGCATGGGGGCCTACAACTTTCGGTTGGATGTAACGCAGCCGGTCATTAAGGTGATCCCCAGGGCATACTCACGCGCAGCGACTTGATCAGAAAGGTGCGGATTCCATGCTTCTGGAGCACCGGATCTTCGCGAGCCTTCTCGGTGCCGTCTTCAAAGAAATACTCGCCGTCCAGCAGGGAGAGCGTCTTCTGGCTTACGTGCACCCGTCCGGTGGCTCCAGTGGCTTCCAGTCTGTTGGCTATGTCCACATCCTTTGACCAGATGTCAAACTGCCACTTGGCAGCACCTATTACGCCGGAGAGTACGTCACCGGAATGGACTCCGATACGCATGTCAATGTTTAGGTGCCGCTTTACCCTAGGTTAAATTAAAAAAATCGTTAATAAAATGAAAATAAAGGAAGCTTGAAAGGTACACCTATACAGGATTAATAACTATCCTAAAAAAGAATTGATTTCAATTAATTATTATTATAAATTTTAAGTTTTATGCTGTTTTTTTCAAACCATTACAGGGTATTGTAATTTCAGTCAGAAGGTGTTAACGCAGTGAAGAAGTCATTTCTGACCCTATAAATCATATATATTCTTGATCAGCATAAACAGACGAATCTTTCTAGCTATGTCCGAAACAAAAAAATTTTTTTTTCAATTTTCTCAAAAAAATATAAGGGGTTACATCGTTAAAATTATCAAAAATTGATCAAAAATTTTCATATCTTAAAATTTAAATTTAACTATGTAGCTTTTTTAAACTAATAAAAACTAGAAAAAAGAAGCTTTTCGAATTGAAATTAATGGATTTTTGACATAGTTATGAATGATTAAAAATTAAATTAAATTAAATTCTGTACCCTGATCCTATTTCAAAAGGTATAAAAACTTCGCATACCCAAAATTAGATTTCCTTCTCGCTTAAATGAAAATTTTGGTTAATCTTTGGCAATCTCTGAATCATGAAACACCTTTTATATTAAATATAATTTATTAAAATGGCTCAAAACAAATTAAAATATCAGCTCTAAGATGTCTACAAAAATAAAAATATATCACAGTTTTTCGTGTAGTTTTTATTTCCTGTTGGGTTTCTGCTTTGCAGTCGGTGCACAACCCTAATTAAATTTACTACCCATATTATACAAATCATTTTGTTGATAATATTAGGCATTCCTTTCCGAAGTCATTCATACTTTCCCAATGATTCCAGCTTTTAAATTTTATTAAAGAGCTCTCTCCTAATCGCGTTATCAATAATCACGGTGCTCCATGAGATAAAATCGGCAATCAACAATCAGTTGTGACTAATCGGAACTTGGCTAATGGCTTTTATAGTAACTAGATTCGCATATATATATTTCTCCCAAGGGAGAGAGGTAAGTAAGTACCCACCTGACATCGCGAATATCCTTGATCATGCGCAGGCCCAGATCCACGCAGCACTTGGCGTGATCCGCATTGGGATTGGCCAGTCCGGCCACGCAGTAGTAGCAGTCGCCCAGGAACTTGATACGCAGCACGTTATACTCCTCGCTGGCAATGTCGAAACGCACAAAGAGATCGTGCAGCGCCTCAACCAGCTTCTTCACGTCCAGCGTGGTGGTCAAGTGGGTGTAGTTGACCACGTCGGCGTACAGAACCGTGACATCATTGTGGGGCTCAATGAAGAGGGTGCTGCAGGGGAAAGGAAAAGAGTAGAAGTAGGAAAGAGAGAGCTTCCCCTGAAGCCCCAACTCACCCATCATTTGGCTGACGCCACCGCTTGAGGGTCTGGCTGTCGGCGCTCCTTCTCAGATCCATCTGAGATCGCTGTTGATGCTGCTGCTTCGACCGCTCGATGCGATTCTTCACATCCTCCTGCAGTCGATCGGCAATCTGAGCCGGAAGAATACTCAGCAGCAGGCTACGCTCCTGGTCCCTGGCATAGCGCAGCAACAGGTTCTCCTCCACGTACTGGCGCCGGTCCAGAAAGGTCGTGCGCAGGGCAATGTCCCGCATCAAACGGAAGAATATTCCCAGCAAATTTACACAACTCAAGTAGATAGCCTCGTTCATGATGCTGTGCATCTGGTTGTCATCCTTGGCCGTGATCACAAAGCTGTAGTTGATGATGTAGCACAGGGTCACGGCGGCTCCCAATACAATGGGCTGCAGCAGATAGGGCACCGGCATGAACATGTATATGGCGTACAGAGTGTACGCATCGTAAATCGGATTCAGTATATCATTGTGGCTGGTGGCATGGTAGACATTCAGGCCAATGTCCATTAGTACCATCACACAGACGGCCAGCCAG